AATCTCCAAACCCCACACCATCCCTTAGCAACTGAGATTTTTGTAAACATCATACAATGTACAGAATGCACCCTCTGAGGGTTTTTTTTGTTTGTTTCTTTTGTTTTCGTTGATAAAGTTGTTCCTTCTGTAGAATCCATCATTCTCCTTCATAACATTTCCTTTTTTTAAAAAAAATGTATTTGGTATAGGGTCTACAGGGTCTCATTACACAGATCTGACTCATAGTGATCCTCCTGTTTATACCTCCCACGCACTGGGATTATAGGCCTGTGCCACCACACCCAGTCTCAATTGCCATCTCAGCAAATCCCTGGGGTGGGGCTGGCACTGCAGGCCCAGGGATTTAACCCACGGCCTCTGCATCTTCCTAAGCAGGTGTTTTAATCCCCTGAGCTATCTGGCCGGCCCTCATAACATTTTCTTTATGCCACTCAAACAAAAATAGTCCCAGATATCCCATCCTAAATACTTTCCTTCCCTCATTTTTCAGTAGCTTGCCTCTTTGATGATCTACATTTGAGAATTTATTATCTCTGTCCTGGGATATTGCAGCTGTCTTAAATTTTAAAAATATTTTCCAACTTGTTTTTATCCTTTGGCTCCCATCATCAAATTCACCTCTCAGAGTCTACAGTTAGATATTTCTAAAATGCAACTGATGATGTTAAACCTCTGTCTGAAGTGTTCAGTAGCTCCTATACTCCCTGAAGGACAAAGCTCAGACATAGTTTCATGCTATGCAATGACTTTGATGGTATAGCTGCTTTTTTTCTTTATTTCTTTTTTATATTTTTAAAATTATTTTATTGAGAAACAAATAGAAATGAGACAGTTTCAGAACTGATTACTACCATATTGTTGTCTTAGTGGTTATTCATTGTATAAGATGCAGACATGATATGCTGTCGACAAACACTATTAGAACAAAAGTTTCTGTTCAATGAATTAAGAGAATGCAGCTATATATCTATCCTAACTATTTTGAGTATACAGATACAAAATGGTCATTCATTTGTATCCCCCTATTTTGGTTAGTTTTGTCAGAGAAGGGCATGCTATTTTCATTTCAATATTTAAATATTGAAAATATTCCAATATAGTCCAGTAGTCCATAATAGTAATAGGTATTCCGTAAGACTGGCAATGTCAGAAGTTGTTATCTCGAGCCTTTTACAGCTCAGCATATTAATATGGCTTTATTTTTTATACTTTGCTTTTATACTTTTCTGCTGGATGGTTAAGACCAAGATAGAACAAGACCTATATAACAAGAAATATAACTTTTATATCTGATAAGGTCAGTCAAATCCCCTCAGGATTTTCCCCCGTCCTCAGGATTTATCTTGAAACCCTGTACCGCAGTTTGTAGATCTTTTGTAAGTGTCAGCTATGTGGATGAGTCACAGCCATTGCTTGTCCAATTTGCTCTCTGTGAAAACCTGAGAGAATGTTTTCTCTCCATGTGACTCTCCTTAGGCACACTCTGCATCAATCAATCACTTTCATCTTTGGCCCCATAATCTCCTTGATCAGAAAATCTGGGACACAACTGAGTTACATGATGTTATAGTTCAGGATCTCCTATGTCCTGAGTCTTCACTGACCTTGCAAGGCTAGGGCTGAAATGTTGGCTGTCCTTGCAGCCCTTCTTTTTTCTCTAATTTTTTGGTCTGCAAACTTGGGTTGTTAACCCTGTAAAAGAGAGAGCTGGATTTTTTTTTAACCTAAGCTGGCATTTCTTCTGCAAACTCCGTTGCAGCTATTAGTCTGAATTACATTTCCTAGCACATTGCCTCATACCTACCCTCCCATTTTCACTGAAAGACTCCTGTTTATGCTTTTTAAAAAAATTTTTATTTATTTATTTATGTGTGTGTGTGTGTGTGTGTGTGTGTGGCCAGCTCAGCCCACCAGGGGGCGGGATGGCTGGCATGTGGTGCTGGGGGACTGAACCGCGGTCCCAGTGCTTTGCTAAGCTTGTTCTAAGTAGGTGCTTTAGACCACTGAGCCATCTCACCAGCCCCGTTTATGCTTTTAACACCCAACTCAAGTAGTTTTTGTTTTCCTGGACCAATTCACAACTTTCTATCTTTCACCTTTAGAGCACAGCTAGTCATTCTCTCCTTAGCAATGCTGGTAAACTCAAAATCCATTGCTCATTGAAATTTTTCTTTTCTATGAGACTGAGAGTAGAGCCTAGGTCATCTCTATTTTATTGTTTTCTATCTACCACTGGCCTGGTATACAGGAGGTTCTTTTAGATGTTGCTTGAGTAAAAGGAAATCCAAGCTTATTCCTAACTACTCATTCTTTTTGAGATAACATCTATTGTTTTCTTCTGCTTATGACAATACTAACCCCATGAGTGGAAAAATTTACTTTTAATTTTTTAAAAATTAATTTTATTGAGAAACAAATAGTAATGAGACAGTTTCAAAACAGATTAGTAGGACAGTTCCAATAATTAATACATTGCATATTGTTGTCTTCGTAGTAATTCATAGTATAAGATGCAGACATGATATCCTGTCAAACACTATTAGTACAAATTTTTCTTCTAATTGAATTAAGAGAAAGTAGCTGTATATCTATGCTATTTTATATATACAGATACAAAATGGTCCTTCATTTATATCCCCCTTTTTTTTTGTTTAGTTTTGTCAGAGATGGGTATTCCATTGCCATTTAAATATTGTAGGTGCATGAATTAAGCAAAATAATCCATTATAGTCCAGTAGTCCTTAATAGTAGTGGGTTATCGTAGGACTGGCAATGTCAGGAGTTGTTGACTTGAGCCTTTTACAACTTAGCATGTTATGTTCCATGTTGTGTCTAAGATGCCTGATATTCAGACAGATAGTGAGGTTAAGCTCAACGCCTATGTTATAGGGTAATAATATCATTAAGCTTCTCTTTTTTTTCCAGTTGTTCTTTTTTTTTTCAAAATTTTATTGATAAACAGATAGCAATGAGACAGTTTCAAATCAAATCGGAAGTACAGTTTCAACAAATAACACACTGCATATATTCTTCTTAGTGGTTAATTGCTGTACAAGATGCGGACTTGAGATGCTATTTACAAACACCATTAGAACAAATCATTCTATTCATTAAGAGAATGCAACTATATATCTATCCTAACCACTTTGAATACCCAGATACAAAATGGACATTCATCTGTCTACCCCATTTTTTTAAGTTCCGTTATTGAATATTATAGGTGTGCAAACTCAGCAAAGTATTCTAAAAGAGTCCAGTAGCCCATAATAGCATTGGGTCTTCTGTTTAACTGGCAATGTCAGAAATTATTGACCTGAGTCCCCCACAGCTCAACATAACAGCATGGCTTTACTTCCTATATTTCGTCTTCATACTAAGCTTCTCTTCTGATGGAAAAAATTTAGAAGAACTTTAGATCCAAAGAGTGAATTTAAAACTAATCTGCATATAAATCATGCAGATGTTTCGGGCCTTTCTCGTAAAGCCCTTGTAGAATCTCTTTCTCTTATCACTGGAGGTTACCAAAGAGGTATAGTTTGTGTTTCCGAACAGGCTTCTTATTGTTATCATGGCTAACAGAGATAGGGCCTCAATAACCAAGCCAGAACTCCACTGTTTTCCCTGAAATTTTCAGTGAGGATCCATTTCTAGTTGGAACTCTGCTTCTAAGCTGCAGCTTCTTTGACATTTCTTACCAGGAAGTTTGGAACTCGATTTCTCCTTCCTAGCAATGGAGAAGATGGCGCCTCGCTGTGGAGGTGAGAGCGCAGGCACTTGATGGCTTTACTCAGAGTTG